GTGTGTGTGTGTGTGTGTGTATGAGTGTGTGTGTATGTGTGTCCTGGGCAAAAGACACATTTTTTCATTTGAATCTGACGAGTTGTACCCTAAAAAAATATCTTATCATTAAGTGAATTGTAATATTTTTTATGAGCATTTCATTCATTAAATGCTGCTTGTAAAGTTTTTGAATTTTCTCACATATTAATTCCAGTTAAACAAACCTCTAATGAGCTGTTTTCTATACGTGTGTGTGTCTGTCCGTTTGTCCACCAAGCCTTGGGAGTGTGTTTACTCTGCCTTTTGTTTACCGCGGGTCTGTTTGTGCTGCTGTTATTATTGGACAGTCGTGAGATTTAAGGGGCCCGGGGACCTCGGCCTCCCCCACAGGCGGTTAACCAGGACGGGCAAAGAGCGAGAGGAGTCGAGGCTCCAAGAAGTGACCTCAACACTGGCCCGTGCATCTCTGAGCGGGGTCGTTCGACATGCAGCATGCTCGCTGAGGATTAACTGCGTCCTCCCACCCGCACATCATCCCTTTCACTGGCTCATTATGGGAACCAGGGCCGACCCGTGGAAAGCAAAGTCACGGTCACTGGAGCTGTAGCCTGAACTGAGTGATAACAATCGATCGTGATGACAAATAAAACAGGAATTGCTAGCTGCACTGATTGTGTGTGTGTGTTTTAGATAATGTCCAAAAGGTACACTGGTACAAGTGGCCACAGTTCACATTGACAACTGTGCTTCAAGACACTATAGTTAAGAAAGAAGCAGACAGCAGAAGCAGAAAAAAAGAATAATATAAAATGAATTTCACACACACACACATATATGCAATTCACTTGTGTAGAATGAACAGCAGGGTATAATCTACGTAAAGCATGAGTGCATCGCAAACAAATGCCACTATGATAGATTGGCGGTCGTTTTGGGAAGAATGGCAGGAATCCACTGGAGTCTACTGTTGTTTCTCAGTTAACAGCCGAAGGTCTCGTGACCTGTCACCACATATGTGGCAAAACAAGCCATCGGCCGTTCCTCCATCTCTCTCTGACCCCAGAGGAATGGGAGGAGAGCAGAGAGCAGGCAGCAGCACTGGGAGTGACACTAAACGATGGGGACAATATCTGAGAGCGTGCAGATGTCGCCATGGATCTTCTGGAAGTGTCACGCTGTTGGACATGGGCCCGGCTGCGAGGGCTCGCTCCAGGGGGAGATGACTGGTTTTTGAGCACATACACATAAAGCACGGTTACTTCAACTGGACTCTGGTTCCCTAAATGAGTTGTCTTTGCACCAAGAGGCCGTGCTTTAAAAAGAGATGCAGTGCGATGAGGTGAACACGGTGAAAACAGTCAAATCTGTGGTTTCCGATCAACACAAACCTAAACAAACCAAACTTGAACACACAACTACGTCTGTGGTGCAGACCAGAAAAATACCAAACTGGTGGCATGTTCAAACTCTTGGACTCATTAGTCCTGAATCACTCACAGTACAAAGCCTGGAGATAAATTCAGCACATCATAAATCCCTTTGGGACGTCGTCTCCATGTGGCCAGCTCTGTTATCAGGGAGCTGCTGGCTGGTAGCTGCAGCTCGATAATGGCCCGCACTGTTTACTGATCCACGCAGGAAACTGACGCTAACTTTAAAGTGGCCTCTGGATTTTGTGAGTACAGTCCATAGTTCATTTCTGAGCATATGCGGGTGGGTGCAGTCACGGGGTATCTGGCTATCATGAGAAGGAATGTAAATATCCAGTGTTAGTTATGTCCACTTACAGAATTTGTTCTGTCGAGGTTATTGAGAGCTTGGAATTTCAAATGAACATTGTTTGCTCATTTTCTTCTTTGTTTTTTAAATATATATAGATTATGTGTGATTGATTGTAAAATGTGTTGTTCACAATAGCTCTTGTGACCATAATCAGCTGGTGTGAATTGCATTTGAAATAAGTGGTATATAAATAGTATAAGGTTTATTAGTTGTCCATTTGTTTGACAGTTGTTAATGTTGCAGTTGTTGTGTGTCTGATGTTTTCTTTTTTGTATGTCGATATTAAATACTAAAGTATACATTGTTTTTAAAGTTACTGTTTGACAGAGGTCATTTTAAAAACATTTGATACTTTTCTCTTCATCAGTTTTGTCTTTAGGTTCCTTTCTAATTGAAATTCCTAATACCAAAATCGCAATGTCAGTTAAGTGTTGAGGATCCACACCAACATACTGAAACAGACAAATGACAAAAGGTTATGTTAAACATTCCTTTTTTTAAACGCCTCTTGGTTCGATCAGTTACTCCCAGTTGAACATTGGTTCAGGACTCATCTTTCTCCTGATCTTTGAGTCAGCATCTTCCGCTGTGTTAGTCAGGAACAGAGGCTGTGGACTCACCGCTGATGAGCCTTCCTGTGGTGTCGAGCGTCTGGACGTCCTCTCACGGTGTCCAACTCTCACTTTTTGTAATGTTCTGCAGACCAGCCTCCATTCTCTCTCTCACACTCACTCACTCACTCACACACACACACACACACATAAAGTAAACACAACCTTTCACATGAGACAGTTGCTCCTCATGTGTGTTTAGTGGGACATGCAGCAACCGGACCAAAGATCTTCGCCTTTTCCTGTAAATGTTCTTGTTTGGGACAAAAGTATGTCAGTGAGAAAAAAAGGAGATCATTCATGAACATTTTATGGGAATGAATTGGAGAAACATTAAAAAAACAGCAAGGGGACAAAAGCAATTTGTGTCGTCATATATTTCATTGATAGGAAACGTGCACATGACACAAATCTACCATCAATATTCCCAGTATGGGGCCCTATAGTTGCACTAGGGATTTGAACCATCAACCTTTGAGGATCCCCTTACCTCCCCCACTAGAAGAAACTGGAATCATCTCATTAAGACATTCCCAGTATAGAGTGTTTATAAACAGGCTCTTGTTCATCCCTGGTGATGGATGTGTGTTCCCTATCACAAGCTTTTCCTACTGACTCCCCAAATCCTCTTTAACAAGCTCACTGCCACTGTTTCACAACCACACACTGCAACACACAAACACACACTTCCACTTACTGAACCCTCCATATTTTCAGTATTGACCTTTCTTACTCGGTGGGTGGGCCCTCGAGTTTATGTGATTGCATTATTTTTAATAGTGAGGGAAAATGTGTGTGTGTGTGTGTGTTATAGGGGAGGAGGGTGCATCTGAGGGGCCAGCGTGAGTCTGCTAATGAAGAAAAACTACATGGCTGTCAGGGCCTCCCAGGAGCAGGTCAAACACAGTGGCTGGGGGGGGGTCCAGGTCAGAGGGGGTCACAAGGTCAAAGGTCGGCATCAAGTCCAGGGGTAGGCCGCAACCTCTGCTGAGTTGCAAAAGATGTGAGAGGTGTAGAGAGTCAACTTTTGTGGAGGGAAAGAGCTATGAGATAAAATGTATAAGTCAGAAGAAGTAAATGACGGAGCTGGGCCGAAACTAAACGCCTGAATGAATATTTTAAGAAAAAGCAAAGAGAGATAAAAAAGTGTTGTCATTTGTTTTAATGTTTACAGTACAATGACCCACCAGACATTTTTAACATTTCTCAAAGTACAAAATAAACCTTTGCATCAAAATGTGCAAAAACAGTGGAAATGAAAATGTGTAAATTAAACTAAGAAGTGAAAATCTGTTTCAAGTCATGCGACATTTATCCCCAGTGCAAACATAGTGTTTGTATTTGAAAAACTATATTTTTATTTTAACAATAAAATAAAAAAATAAAATGAGGTTGTATGATTACAATTAAAAGAGCAATAAAATGCACATAAAACAAATTCTCAAAAATATTTTATGATCATGGTTGGCATATGTATTTACACCTTTCTTTCCAATATGACGTGTCATTGCGTGCGTTTGTCGGAGAGCATCAGACAAACCCCTGAAAATAAAATCAGTCACGGCTTCATACAAACGTTTATTTAATAAGGGTCTGAGTTTTTGGCAACTTTAAAAATGAAATACTTTAAACGAAACCTCTGTGTGGACTGTTCGCTCTCAACAGCAGGTTTCTGACATCTATCGGGTCTTTTCTAAAACTGATGTTGACCTAAAATCAAGAGGAGAGGAGGCTGACAGGAGTTAAATCAACATATCTGACGCCTGAACAACACAATCATCCCTTTTAAAACTAATATTAAAGCAGCAATCTCAAAGATGTTCATTTAAATTGATGTGTGATCTAACGCTGAATGAGGTAACACAGTGGTGACTGAGCCTGAGCCTATTGCCATGTTCATATATTAGAAGTATTATGAACAGGCTGCCTGTGGTAACATTCTTAAATGCTGTTTCATTTTACTGCTGATGCAAACTGAACATCTCCAACTGCCGCAGCGTCGCATTAAAAGCATTTTACCGGCAGGAGATTAGTTTGAAATATTTCAGGAAGCAATGGAACAGGAACAGCGAGTTTTCTCTCGGTATGATATGAGCTGCAGTGTAAAACCATATTCGCTGTTACCACCAGCTACAGGCGTCACCTCATCCTCCAGGACTGAAATCTAAAAGAAACTAAAAGAGCAGCATGAGTCACACCACTGCAGCTGAAGAATCTGTCGCTTCACTTAAAAACACATTTTAAACATTGTAATAAAAGAGCATAATAAATAAAAACAATGAAATTAAACTAAAATGTACAGTTTTCTTCTCATCTTGATTTTGTGCTGTTAATGTGATTCTGAGGGTTTTCCGAAAACGAGTGCTCGTGCACCCCCACCCCCCTTTGTTTGTTCATTTAGCTCCTGATCAGAGGCGACGTCTCTTCATAGCCTCCGTCCAGCTGCCCTGGAGTCTTGCGGTAAATGATGAACTGGAAGGAGATCTGAACCACAGTGTCAAGGAAATCAATAGAAATCCTGGGAAAGAGTCTGTTGAATGCAAGAACAGTTATTGACTGAACAAAGAGGGAAAACTGCCCAGGGGCTAAAGACCGAGTTCATTGTTGTCTGTAACTTAATTAATACATTATCTACTAAGTTGTATCCTACATTGTAGCCACACCATAGCCTTATCTTACCAAGGGGACCTGTGCAGAGGTGGAAGGTAACTAAGTGCAAATATTTCCTAATAATGTACTTCAGTAGATATTTTGGGATTTCTGTAATTTAGTTGAGTATTTACTTTTCTGTTGCCTCCTTACTTTTACCTGCTACATTGAATACAAATATCAAAACAGGCTTGTTACTTTTGTTTTACTATATTTAAGGGGAATTGAGCGCCACCGTCCTGACATCAAGGTAGATTTCAGCCTGAATGGAAGGGACACAGAAAAGACGACAATACATAGTACACATTTCCTCCTGGACCATTTTTTAAGACCCCTGTCAATTGGTGAATTCACAACACCTTTGTTATTTCAGTTTCTGTTGTGAATATTGTGCTGGTGAGCACTGTGCTTAACATTTTGATGTATTTACTTACTGTCTGAGAGATTAGAAGACTGATCCGACTCTTGTCTGTTTGTACAGTAAATATGAAGCTGCAGCCAGGGGCTGATTATCTTAGCTAATCTGGAAACAGGGGAAACAGCTCTAGACTCTGACCAAAGGTACAATAGCTCTGAGCCTCACTACTGAACATGTCAGTCTTGTTTGTTTAATCCACATACAATCAAAGCGTAGGAACAACAAACTGTGGTTTTAGAGGCACTGTGCTGGATTTCTTTGCTGAGAATAGTGACTTCCTTGCAGCCCACTTACTGGTCAGCACAGTTGAAACTGATATACAAGTAATTTTTAAGTGTATTTTCGAAAATGTTAAGCTATTCCTTTGATAACTACCAGGAGCAGTTGTGTTTTGCCCCAGGGCCGGCTTCATGTTAACAGTCAGAGGACAATCTGATCATAAGTTCAGTAGAAAGTTTTTCCTGGTTCTTTTCAGAACCAGCTGATGAAAAAACACACAACCCGACATCATCATCTAGTCACCGGCATCTGCATCATCTACATCTTCACTGAAAACAGAGGGACGCAACTTAAGTCCACCACTAGTGTTTGAAGAGACACGTGGTCTCCAGGGGCCACTAATAAACCTTTGAGACTGTATATTGTGTTTTCACACACAGTCACGAGAGCGTAACCATCTGTGGAACCCTCCCTCTCTCACAGCTCAGCACTGGCTGATATGTAGGAAGTACATGGGATTAAGACAAACAGGCAGCAGGCCCCATGCCTTTTTTACAAGGAGTTGTTTAAAGGATACCATGACGTCTAAAGAGAGGGTGCCGAGGCTGCCGACGAGCCAGGGCAGGTGATGGATCAGGTAGCTTTTCTCGCCTTGGTCGTCGTCCGGGTTTTTCAGTAGGACACTCAGGCCGTATGTGGTGTTTCCCAGGATGACCAGAGCGAACAGGAAGTAAGACACTCCCTCTGTCGACTTCCTCTTGAACTGTGGGGAGGTTAAGTGGGAAAAACAAAAGATACATTTAAACAAAAGCAATAGAAGTTGTTTTATACAGTCTCCACATGTTTTCCACCAGACTGATAGATTTATGTATATGTGAGAGGGCAGAAGCGAAAAAAACCTTTGTCAGCAGTTTAGTGTTTTCACCTGCTCAGTTTTCATAGCTTTCGCTTTAGTTTTCAGTTTGGACATTATTAAATATACAAAAAGCTTGTAATGCCTTAACAGCGTTTTTTTCACTAAAAAATGAAAATACACTTATCATCTACTCAACTATGTCGATGTAGGCAGTGGGTGAAGTGTTGAGTCCACAAAACACTTCTGGAGTCTCAGAAGTAAACTTTGTAGCAGCCGAAAACGATATTATTTAAAGTCAATGAAACAACAGAAAAAACATAACATGCTGCCATACTGCTCGTGTTGTGTCCGCAAGCCCCCACATTCACATTCGACTCGAAACGAGGTCATTTACACAGTGACACTCCCAGCGGACTTTAAGGCTTAAAGCTTGGTGTAAATGACGCTGTTTCTAGGCTTGCAGACACTTGGATGACACCACACGAGCAGTATGAAGGTTTTTCTGTTGTTTAATTACGTCTGGTCACCATTGGCTTCAATTTTATTGGATTCTACTGCAACAAAGTTTCCCCTGAGACTCCAGACGTGTTTTGTGAACTCCAACACTTCACCCACTACCTCCATCAGCATAGTGGTACCTTATATATATAATATATATGAATTGATCCTTATCCATACTCACAAACATCTACATTTTTAACTTGTTACCCATCAGGTAACCATGAATACCTAACCCAATATAAGACTCCACCTCCATACAAAACTATCTGAACTTCATTATTTCTAACTTGTTTTATGTGGATGTGGTTTCAACAAAATGAGTGTAATGATAAAACCGATTTAATCAGAAATAAACATTTGCATGACACAGTTATGCAAAAGTAATATTGTAATTATTATAACTGCTCTAACTATCATTATTAATGTCAACAGTATTAGTATCAGTAAATCTACAGTATGCAGCAGCTTGTAGCAGAGTCTGCTTGGTCATACTCACATTCGTGTACATCTGAGGAAGTCTAGAACACAGGTAGAGCACCGATGACACTGAGCCAATGGAGAAACCAATGATCTCTTTGGAGGTAAAAGTCTGAAGTGACAGAGACACAACATTTTTAGGGGAAAAAATCCAGACATCACTAATTCACATTCCCTGGGTTGCTTATTAAACAAATGAATAGGACGCACCTTGACTTGGCTAAGGTCAGAGGTTGAGAGCAAGGCGCGACTTGTGAACCCAGAGGAGATAACTTCCTGTCGGTCAGCCAACCCTGGGAGGTGGATGAGGTTTGCTGTGAAGCCCAGGACGCAGGCTACACCCACCACGTGCAAAACCCTCCTTCCTGGAGAAGAGACGCCACCTGAGTTTATTTGTTAATACTGAGAAAGATCTCTCAGCACATTCCCAAGTACTTCAGACAGAGGTTACTGTGTCAAAGGTGGTGAAGGCAACAAACACCACAGCGACATGAGACATGTGACGACACCATCACAGGGAACACAAGATTACACTCTTCCTCTCTCTGGGCGAGCGCTGGACCACTGCTCATCAGCATTTATGTGAGATGTGTAAAATAAAACAACAGAAATAATCCGTGCTGTGATGGTGGCTGGATCAGAAAACAATGTGGCTGCAGTTTTAGTGTTGAGCGTGAAATACAAGTCATCCAAATAAGGCATTGTAACTCAAATAAACTAACAGAAATGAAAATGAAAAAAACACTCACTTTCCTTCATTCTGTTGTTTAACTTGTAGTAAAAGTACAAGGCCAGCATCAGTAAGTCAGCAATCACGTAATAAACGGCTGTGTATGTCTGAAAGAGAAGGAGAAAGATGTTATCACAGAACATGTTATCAGAGAAGAAGGAAACATGTGATTTCCTTCACAAAGTCTTTGTCATGGAAAAGAGTTTCCCATTGTAATGATGACACAGTTTGTTAAATCATCAATCAACAGTTATCATCTTAGTCATTTACCAAGACATAAACTCTAATTAGCAGTTAAAAGCTCTGATAACATGATAATTTAGTTTCCTTTTTACTGATAACATAAAATAAACACATTTGTTTCTTTAAGTGGAAAACAATCTTATCTTAAGATATAATGTCTTCTTTAAAAAACTTCTCATGAGTATTTTCCATTGCTTTTGGCACTTTACAGATCAATCAATTGCTAAAAAAAGTTGTAGATTGAAAGAAGATGTCTTGCAGCTCTACTTCATGATAGTAAACACTAAAGCAAACATTTTATCACAAGTCACCTGAAGTGGAAGCTGGTCTGCCAGGAAGGAGCCCACCAGATTACACGTGTCACCTCCCAACCACAGCAACAGGAACCAAATGGAAAGGGCACTGTCCATATTCCCGTTTTTGCACGAGCTGTAGTACTGTCTGCAATCGCAACAACACAAATCACACAATTACACACACATTTAGATTTCTCAAAATCATTACCCCTGAGAAACAGACGCCAACACATACGGAAGCGAAGACACCATGAAGCAGAGGATGGACAGGAGGCCGAGGTAGATGCTGGCCATGTCCCTTGAATCCTGGGCACATTCCCCGAGACCATTCCAAACCCACTGGGAGCCATTAGGACACAAAGAGGTGAAGTTCCCTTGACTGGTCAATCCAAAGGGACCCCTAGTGAGGGCTACGGCTGTCCACATACTCTGCCGGAGAGAAAAACATCTGTAAATATCCACACCTCTTTTAGCATAATGCTTCAAACATTGATGCACTATTCTTCATGTGATAGATGCTGTCTTTCGCAAATGTTGTTCTCTCGCTCCCTGTTACAATCAATAGCTCTTGCACTTCTTTCTATACATCCTAGGAGAGCGATCCTGATTTCTTTCTTTAAATTCAGATTTCTGCGTTTCATTTTATTCCCTGTTTAAGAGTTTTTGGACTCCAGTCGAGGGTTAAGGGCAGAGACATTGTTCAGACCCTTGAGGCAAACTGATTTGTGATTATGGGCTCCACAAATACATTTTACTTGATCTGTTATTATCATTACTATGACAACAAAACATGTCTACACGATGCTTCAAAGATTGAATCGTCGAAATGAAAATGAAAATAACAATGAATATGCAATCATTACGCAGAACCATCACATGTGGCCCACAGATCGCCAGTTCACACGGTTGAAACGAGGTCAAAGGTTGTTTTGAACTACATCAGAACAGCTGGTTTCGATCCATACTCAGCTATAGAGCCTCTGATTAGATCAAGACAGTGTCCTCTGAATAAAGTGGCTGTAAGTGTAGCTGCATTTCGACATAGGCCGACACAGGAAAACATGTTTCACCCACAGATAATAAACTCAACAGAGAGCAAGGAAACAAATAAATCAAAAGAAGGCAGCGAGCTAGCTACGACAACAACATAAAACATGTCCGGAGCTGGACAAGACAAACATGTAGAAAGCGTCAGACAGCAGAAGAGTAAAGCGTCGTGTTTATCTTGCCTGGATATCTGCTGACATGTCGGTGAACTCCTCTGCACAACAACACAGAAACACACTCTACACGGAGAAAACACGGAAGCTGCAGATAAACAAGTCGGATCTGCAGCTGCGAGCTGATTGGTCGCTGCGCTGAAACGTCACTGCAGGAAAACAGAGTCGCCTTCATAATAAAAGCTCTACGTCCAAACGGCCAAGGATACAAAATAAATGGTACTATTGTTCATCATACAGATACTG